CCGTGGGACGCTGTGTGGTGCGCGGGCCAGCTGGGCTTCCGCTGTCCCTGCAGCTCTCACACCTTGAGCCTGCCCTCCAGGGACACCCCCTGGGCCTCCCGGGAGCTAAAGAGACCTTGTCCAGCTGCCAGGCCCTGGGAGGAGGCCCGAGTGATCTTTCCGGCACTCCGGGGCTCCCCGTGTCAGGACCCTACCGGCCTTTGTAGGGGAGGAGGGGACAGGGCTGCAGCCCGGGGTGACAGCCAGCTGGGGAAGTCCTAAGTCCCAGAGACCAGAGGGGCCGCCTGGGGAGGGGGCAGGAGGCCTCTCCTGGGCTCCAGGCCTGCCCAGAGCTGTGTGGAGCCTGGGGCTTGGGCAGGGACTGGGGTCCTCCGCTGGTGTCCCTGACACCTGGTCCGCGGTCTCCAGGGACGGGCAGAGCTAGACACCAGAGTCAATGATGCCGCACCTGTAATTCCGGGCCCTGACACCAGCTAGCCGTTGGCCTGGCATTCTCTGGGGCTGCTAGTCAGGCCCACACGACCTCCACGTGGCTGGCCTTGCTCACGACTTGGCGGCCTGTTCTGGGACGAGCCTGCTGGGTGGGTGGGAGCTCTGTCGGCTACGACTCCCTCAGGTCAAGCAGCAGCACGCACACGCTCTCTCGATGGGGGCAGCCACAAGGGCCACCCAAGTTCATCGCCTTCCCGAGGAGCAGCCAGGCCACGCTGGGGAAGAACGAGGTATAGCACAGTCACTGTGGCCTCCGTGGTGCCCATGTGGATCCCAAGTCTGCACCTGGCACCAGGCAGTCTCCGTGTTCCGCACAGCGGGTGGTGGCAGCGCCCCTGGGGCAGCCGGAATGTCTGAGTGGGCAGGGTCGGCCCGTTATGGGTGGCGAGCTGGCATCGGCTGGCGCTGCAGGTGCAGGCCAGGGTGGTCGTCTCCCCACGGACCGGTGGAGGGCTGGCGCCGGCAGGGAGGGGATGTATGCTCGGTCTGGCGCGGAGGTGCCGCCTGTGGAGGGAGAGCAGGGCTTCCCTCTGTTCCACGATACCTCCGGCTCCCTCCGCGAGCTGGGACGGGCTACCTTGGCGCTTTTTCTCCCCAGCCCTCTACCGTGGGGGTGCTGGCTTACCTCTGGGCTGTGGAAAGGAGACGGGCCTGGGGCAAGAGCACCCCGGGACACAGCAGTGAGTCTGTGAGCATCGACATCTGGCTTCCGACCCGCACTGCAAGGCTCCCGGAGAGGATGGCCTCCGAGCAGAGCTGGGGCGCGGGGCGTCAGGTCCTGGAGCGGAGCTGGGACGTGGGGCGTCAGGTCCCGGAGCAGAGTGGGGGAGTGGGGCCGTCCAACGG